ACGTCGTTGCCAAGCGACGAAAACCCAACCCCGATGGCAAACACCGGGGGGGGCGGAATACCTGGGTATGTGCACAAATCAGTCGGCCCCGCTCCAAAGACGCACCTCGTTTGTTTCATTCGAAGGACGTCTTGTGATCGCGGGGAGCGCCCTCCAGTTTTTAAGGGAGAAGCTGTCTCACCAACCCCGGGGTCAATGTGAAATGATGCGCCTTTTGACAGGAAGAGCGTAGGCGCCGACAACGGTAGGCATGTCTTGCATGTTTTTCAATGCTAAAAACTTCTTTCTCAGCAGCATTTACCGGCAACAGAACACTGCAAAGCAACGTGAGCAGCAACCGGCAGCAAAAGCAACAACCAAACACACGCCCCGTTGTTGTTGTTTTTGTCCTCACATCAACAACAGTTCCGTTCTCTCTACCCGGTACCTTCTTCCGTCCGTACTACACCCCGTGCTCGGTCTTAATTAAGCCCATGGCGCCTTTGCTGCTGCGCCAACGATCACTCAAAACACAACAGGTGGAGTGGAGAAAGCGGTACCGAAAGTACCGCCCCCTGAGGCAGCCGGCCACCTGCAACGACTGCCACAAGAAGACCATCACCGCTGCCTACCACAAGATCTGCACCCCCTGCGCGCGGGAGCGGAGGGTATGCCCCTGGTGCTGCACCAAGGGCCGCCCCCGGGAGAGCACCGAGGACGGCGAGGAAGCCGGAGAAGGAGAAGAAGGAGGTGATCGACACAACGACGGGGAGGAGGAGGAGGAGGAGGATGAGGAGGAGGAGGAGGAGGGAGGGGGCAGAGGACAAGGAGCCGGCTACGGCAAAGGAAAGCCTGCCGAAGCCGACGATATGCCGGTGGAGGAGGAGGAGGAGGGGGAGGGTGGCGCTGGGTTGGGGGCGGCGGCGGGGGGTAAGAGCGTCGTGTTCTCTCCCGGCGTTTCGGTCGCAAGGAATAGCAGTGACCGGGCGGGCGGGGAAGAGGAAAGAGGGGCGGGGGACGCAAACATGGAAGACGATAGCGGTGAAGCGTGACCGTCCGTGGCCTGCTTGGGTGTGCCTTGTTTTCTAAGATGCGGGCGCGTGTGGGTGGGTGTTTTTTGTTGCACATGGTGGGATGGTGTTGTCTTGTGCGACAACTGCTGTGGACGCAGACGGCCTCCACCCATGTGTGTCATTTGGTGAGCCGCGTCCTTGTTTCCCTGTGCCGAAGCCGACTCTCCAGGCAGGTGGAAAAGGGTCATCCAAAGAGAATGAACCCTCTCGCAATGTCTATTGTGGTCTCTAGGGCAGCAGCGTGTTGGTGTATGGAAGGTTGATGGCCTTGCGGGGAACAAGTTTTCGGCATGTCACCTGTTTCGAAAAGCTGACTGGGGGAACGTTCTCTCTCTCTCGCCCGCGTGCGTTTGTGTTGATACATGGGTCCTTATTTTTCTCTTTGATTTTTCGTTGTATGTATCTGCCCCCCTTCTGGGATGTAATGTTTGCCTGTGACCGCGGAAAACGTGCACCATCAGTCGGATCAGTATGGATGTTAGTCGAACGCACCGGGCAGGGATCGGAGAGGTAATATTAGTGTGAAGCCAGCACCAGTCCAAGCTCATGTTGGAGCTGTTTTGTAGGTTCAAAGAGAGGAGAAAGGGTGATCAAAATGATTGTGCTTGTTCTTGAAAGTGTTGGGAGGTTGAAAAAGAGAAGAGGGTCCAGTAGTGATCAAAATGGCGACCGTCGAACGCCCCGCCGAGAATTCGAAGAGATGCATGAGAGGAAACCATTTGAACGACATTTTGATACCATGCAATCCCGGCGCTGGCCTAGAGCCTAGCAGCTGCGCCGGAGGGATTCATTTTTTGAGTTTTGTAGTGTGCCCCCCTCCCCCTCGTGTGAGGGCGCGAGGGGGTTCCGCGGACTGGATTTCACGGTGCATCTTGAACGATTGGGTGCGTCAGTAGGCCCGGCCGGTCACCACCCCGTTGTATCAGTTCAGTACCAGTCAGTGTCGGGTGTTTTACCACAACCTGTGCATTGATTTTACGTGCGTGGTAGATACAGCCCGCCACGTCACCCTTGCCTTCAAAAAGCAAGTGCCGGAGATCTCGTCTCTCATCACCAGCGGCCCAACGTCTGCCGCGCTTTCAGCTCGTTCCGCTCCCTAGCTCCGCTTCCACAACTAAACTAAGAAACGCTATCCGCCAGCGTTAACACCGAGCAATAAACACAAAACATGTACCATGTTGCAAAGAAGCACAAGATCTCCAGACAACAACAGCTGGTAAAAGTCTCGACCTTTGCAAAGCGGGCATGTGGGGTTCAAATCGTCGATCACCCACCTCTACCCTACCCCACCACCATGGCCCCCTGAAGTTCCAAACCAGTTACCATGGAGGCAATGTGACATGAGACCGAAAATCGCACGCAGCAAGCGAAATCAACAAATTAATGCAAACATGATTCGGCACAAGATGCGCTCACGCACAGGCACAAATAAATTCACAGTCGCCAAAGTACATCTTCAAGAAAGGAACCACCGACGAAGTCACCTTGTATCTAGCCAGCTCGTGCCGCGAAGTTAACTTAGTTCCCCGGAAGGGAAAGGACAGCACCGGGTACATTGATGGACAATAAATTAAAATCACCGATCGTTTCGCACTCACCCCTGACTTTTCTAGTTCACCGCATCTCTGGCGCTTCTAGTACCCGAAGTCAAAGCCGGACAACCGAACGACCAATCTTGTGCCCCAACCGTTTTGCATCTTTCGGGATTGTTTGTTCCTCCCCCGTCCCCCTGCCGAACCTCTGCTTAAACAAGAAAAGTGGCCCACTGGAAATAACGCACCTCCTTCTACCGCCCATCGCAAACCACCTTACAGATCAGGAACGATACAACACCACAAACGCAGCAGCGGTGGCGGCGGGGGGCGGCAGGGGGAGTCGTGAGCCTCCTTCGTACGTACACCCACACATGCATGTGCATACCTACCGGTAGCAATCCAAGGTACACCACTGCCATACAACACAAGCGGGACAAAAAGCTGAATCCCTTACAGACTTTCCCGTCCGATTCTGAAGCCCCCCAGCAATACTACACCCCCCCCC